GCCATCGCTGGTAGGTTAGAGGCCATCGCTAGTAGGTAGGAGGCCATTGCCAGTAGGTTGGAGGCCATCGCTGGTAGGTTGGAGGCCATCGCTGGTAGGTTAGAGGCCATCGCTAGTAGGTAGGAGGCCATCGCCAGTAGGTTGGAGGCCATCGCTGGTAGGTTAGAGGTGGGTAGGAGGCCATCGCCAGTAGGTTGGAGGCCATCGCTGGTAGGTTGGAGGCCAATCGCTGGTGGGTTAGAGGCCATCGCTAGTGGGTAGGAGGCCATCGCGAGTAGGTTGCTGGTATAATGATAGTTACCGACTGGGCCGAACAACTCAACCCTCATGACTCGACGACTCGGCGCGTGACATCGACGTCCACGAGTACATCGCGTCGCCCCATGTGAATCTCCTTGGGTCTTTTTGTCCAGCCCCAAAATTTGGCAACGGTGCCCTTTTGCGAATTCTACCACTTTCAAAGTATGCCCCGCCAGAAAGATATACTAAACAGTACAACCCATCCTCATTCATCCTCTAACCCTGTTCTTCCAAGGTCTTCAATCCTTTTTGCTGCTGTGATGTTGTTGGTGAACTTACTCCACCATCGTTGGAAGAGACCTTCCTCCCCAGGCGCTCGGGACGGTTCTCCGGAACCCGGACTGGCACATACGGTCGCCAGCCCAAGTGCCCAACGCTTGGGCGCCGAGATATAAAAGACTCCAAGGTCCCAGGAGTGAAGTAACTCCCAAAAGCCCAACGTTCCGAGATCCAGATGGTAGTGAGGCGCCGAAGGAACTGAGAATGAACAGAGCTAGGGAGATCAACCTACCAGGGATTAGGGCTCCGGGTCAACCTGCCCACCATGGAACCTGAGAACCGCTAGGTTGTAGGGGAATATATATAGTCTTCCTATCAGATCGCTATCAGGTTCCATGTGAGTCTCTTCCCAGGTGAGATATGAAGACATCCACAGACCTCCGACCCCCCAGGAAGAAGCGGGGAAATAGACTTGGGGCGATCGGAGTCCCAAAATCACGCAGATCACTTCATCACGACTGGGGCGGAAATTCACCCAAGGAGGTCCTCATGCTTCCGGGCGGATCGCATCGAGCGTGGCGGATCGCGAATCCGATGCCAAGCTCAAGCGGCGGCAAGTCTTTACCAGTGGCATTTGGCCTTGGAAGTCGGTGGGCTCAGCCACACAACCCAATTTCACTGAGCCCGAATTATTCTTTTAATTTGCCATGATTCTATGCGGACAGAACTTGCATGTTACAGCTTGATCAAAGCCAACGAATTGAACTCTCAAAAACAGTGAAGCTTCAACCAAATTGAATCTGGATTAATCACATTCAATCACATTCAATTTTCGTCAAAAACGAAACCATTTATAAGATACAGAGTAACAAGCGATTCAAGAGCTGTGCCCACCGGTGCGCGAGATGATGGACAGTCTCCCAACAAAAAGAAAAGTTCTCTGGGGTGGGTTTTCAGGTGTATGTTACATCCAAATACCTGCTGCTTCTTCTCGTTTCTTTCAAGATTTGTATCAGTCTGACACAGAGCCAACGGTATTCCGCAGCTCCACGAGCCACGCAGAGGTCGTAGCCCTTGGGGTTGTTTGAGCCCTCCGTGTCGCCCTCCGTGTCGGTGGAGATCCGGTCCCAGCTGCGGATGCTTGTTACAAGGCACGTTGTGATCTGCTAGAAGGCCTGGCCGTCATCACTGGTCGTTGTTTTGGTTGCTGTATGTTGATGTTCCGCTTTTTGGCAATCCAGAAAGCCAGTGTGATGTGCGAAATTGGACACCGATTTGGAGTTTGTTTGCTCTTTTTTTGGGGGGGCTGTCCACCTATGTGCCATTTAGTGCGACGGAATCATGATGAGATCCAGTGAGAGCTCAAAAACGCTGCCAATAGCACCAAGCAGGTGTAAGTCAGATGAATTCACATTTGAAATATTCCTTTCTGACAAGTGACACCTAGCTACACTTGCTGAAGAGTGCCCTTGATTTGATACGTGATTTTCTGGTGCGGCGTGGCGGTGGCTTCGTTGGAACGAAGCACCGACAAATCGTTACATTGGATGTTCCAAAATTTAGGCCTGGCGCGATTCCACGAAGACGAGATAAATATGAGACTAAAGATGGGAATGTCACAAGATATCCCAGGAATCCCGGACTGAAAGATTCGCGAAATTCTGGACATGAAGAGTCAAATCATGCAAAACTATCACGCCGGCCATCCAGTGACAATTGTTTAGATCTTCGCGCTCCCCAAAGGGGGAACGTCTTTTTGCAACTCAACCTCCGTGCGGGTGGCTGGCCTGCGGCCCGCGCAGAGATGGGAAAATGGGGCGAGAAAATAGAGCATTTGGGGATGTGGAGGAACCAGCAGATTCTCTTCCACTGATTCGCCTCCTATGGTGGCACAGAATGATCTTATAGGAACGAATCGAAGGCAAGACTGCGACTTGATCTGGGAGCGAGATTGGGGTGTGCTTTTTCAGAGTCATTCATGCAAGTGTGGCAAGTGTGATGTTCGATTTTGGGAGTGGCACTTTGGACTTCACACACTTACACACTTAAAGAGGAGCGGAATATGGCTAGGTCCGGGATCCAGTCGTACCTCCTTACGCTAAGGCTCCAGTCGTACCTCCTCAGAAAGTATCAAAAGGTTTTTGGACCCTTCAAGCTTAAGTAAGGTGATACAACAAGCACCCTCGTGGCGCCTGGCGCTGCATGACTTTATAAGGTGTCTTCAAGACACCACTCGACATCCGAAAGTGGGCTCGCTCCTCGCTTCGCCGTCGCCGTCGCCAGGCGAAGAAACCGACGACCGAGGACAGGCTCGGCACAGGACGACCAAGTGAAGGTGGAGGAGTTGCCAATCATTCTGGGTCAGTTCCAATGGGGGGGGGGTTCAGAACCCACCCTTTTGGAACGTCCGATGTCGATGTTTTCATCGGCCCAAAAGGTTCACCGGATGTGCTCGTTGTTTTCATGTGCATATAGTACCTTTCGTTTGTAAGAAGCTATATGCTCAGCTCGCACCTCAGAGCTCATGATCTGAGCATGAAAGATCGGCTCAGGAGCTCACGAACTCTTTTTTTCTTGTCCACTCTCAAATCCTAATCACATCCATGATATAATTCATAGAAACTAGCATTTACCAACGACCTGGTTACCTTAACCACGACCAGTGCTAGTCTCATATTCATATTCCAGACTTATAAAAGAGGTCCATTTAAGGCGAGATCTTGTGCCCCGCAGGACAATGCTTTGTGGCAACCTGGGACGGAGGAAAGGATCTTCGTCCAGTGCATGCTGAAAGGATGGCAGTCCAGCAGAGGAAAGGGAAAAGGTCAACTGCTTCACGAGACATGCAGTAGGAAACTCATTTTTTGTTTGCTCCTGGCACAATAATTACGCGCATCCAAAATAAAGATTGACTCTGCGGCTTTGTGACCCACGAGAATCATACAGATTTAACGGAGAGACCAAGGAGCTACTAGGGGCTCCTGGCATCGCTACTAGGAGCAAGGGCGCTACTAGGGCCTCCTGGCCGTACTACTAGTAAAAAGAAGCTAGTAGAAACAATAAGTAAATATGATTTCATTAGAATTGTATATGTGGATCCCACATACAATTTGAGAAGGTGATGTGTTCAACACCTTGATGTAGGCCTGGAGGGTCCAATCACGATTTTCGACGACGAAAGACGAGAAGAAACACATTCAAAAGCCGCCAGGTCTTGTGCATGCCAGTTGATGGAAGCCCAGTCATGGTTTGGTCCCGTCACACTCAGTTTGGATCCCAGCTGCTGAACGTCCGAAATCCGCTGAGGGACATCAGAACCACTTGCAGGGAATGCGACACCGTGAGTGACACCTCAAACACCTCAGCACGCACCAGGAAAAAGACGACAAAACAAAACAAAACACAACTGGTCAAGACAGTCACGACTCTTTCGAAGCAAGTCCACTCACGCAAGTCCACTCGCCATGTGCAAGACCTGGCTGTGCTGTTTGGGCGCGCTGGCTGCGCTTCACATCGCCTCAACCGGTACCCTGAGCAATGATGGACGGAGATGGATGAGTCGGAGTCGTCATATCAGGTCCACCATCATGGTCCATCATGGTCCACCTGTTTGTATAGTTCTAATCTCCTTCATCTATTTTATTAAAACACAGGGGAGTGGTTTTTTTTGTGTGTTTTTTAAACTAGGTACTCGGCACTCGGGCTTCTTGTTTTGTGGCTCACATTGACTCACTTGATGTTTATGTAGACTCAGAGTCTTCAGTACTCGGAATGCCCCTTTGTTTGAAGGCTTTCACCAATTGGGGGGTGCTTTCCGATTCATCAAGATTCGTCACCCAAAAACATGGTTCTCCGCTTCCAGCGACCGGAGACTGACCCATGGGACTGAGCGCTTAGCTTAGCCGGCTGAGCGCTTAAGCGGCTTAGCCTGGTGGAGCGCTTTGTGAAGTCTGACTGGTTCAGTCCGATGACATCAGACCGGACCAGACCCATCCATGGTGCAAGATCTCCAGTCCCCAGGATGGATGGGTCAGGCGACCGCATGAAACACCGGAGCGCAGATGACCGGTGTTTCATACCGTCTGCGCGGAAGCATAGCTGGGTGCATAGAGATATTGGGCTCTGAGCTGCCTAAGACCCGCAGGTCTTTCATATTATATTACTCCGGCTGGTGTGAAGCGCCTTCAAATTTTGCGATGATTGCAAGTGCATAAAACACCTTGCATCTAGATGTGCATGCTCCAAACCCTGGCGAACGATAATAATGGACTCACAACAAAACGATACCCTCTAACATCGTTCCAAAACATGTGAAAACGATAGGGGACTCACAAATCTGAAGATGCAACAGCAGCACATCATAAATGTTGATCTCTTTTAAAAGATGACTTTTCCATTTGAAAGAATGGACCTGGACGGAGATGATCCACTCTTCATTCACTTTGGAAGTACTTGAAGTAGAATGTGCTGCTCTAGTGGAAGTTGATGGAACGATCACGGACGCTATAGGAATGCCGAAGGACCTTTCACTGGACATTGGTTCTATGATTCTGCTGTTTGGGTTCGAAGTGTTGGTTTGATGTGAAATTGAAACTGTCAAAAGAATCGTGGTTCTCCTGGAAGCTCCCCTTTTGGTTCCCTTCTTTCCTGCCTTCCAAACAAGTTAACTGAGTGCAAAACACAACCAAGAAAAGTATCCAATGGTCTATATGCTTCAATCAAGGTTCCGAGCCACTTGACATTGAAAGAATATATTGTATACACACTGTCGTTTCCGGACACTCCCTCCAGAGATCACGGACAAACCCGTAAGAGAAAGCGGATATCAAACAGTTTCTTGCATCATTGGTTGAGAGCGTGATGATGAACTGTTCGTCGAATTCTCAGGGATAGTGATCTCATCGTTGAACCAAGATTCTCAGAACCCTAGACCGACTATCCCGGTACCCCGGTAATTGGGGTCCTTTTGCAGGTCACTTAACCTCTGTTGCTTTCTTCTGAGCTCAGGATTCTTCGTTCCAAGTCAACCTGCTCCACGCGATGCACAGCGCCGCTGGCCGCGGAAGCGGCGCGCGCGGGTCCTCGCCGCGCTGCCACAGAGCGGGGAGCAGATGCCGGCACTGAGATATCTGGGTGATCCGGATCTTATGAAGCTCCTGGGGCTTGGAAAGTGGCTGTTTGATGTGGGGTCAAAGGTCCATTATGCCCAGTTTTGGCGGGTTCCATGTGGGTTTCAGCTCTTTGATGGTACAGTTTCGGAAATGCCGGGCTCAAGTGGACGATCGTGGCCAATCGTTGGCAAGGGCAATAAAACATTGACCCTTCCTACTTCGCAAGGCTCAACACAGTCAACACCTGAAAGAGACATGAACAGCATGAACTTGGACTAAGATAATGGAGGCTCACCTATTTTACTGATTATATAATTTGTGTAAGACCGTTTCTCATTGAGGAAAAACATAATCAACAACATTACGAAAGCCAGCCGATAGGCTAGGCTGAAGTTAGGAACGAAGTGAGCCTTTCAGGGGTGTGGGAGGGGGAAGTTGAGAAGATGCAAGTGACTAGCATCATCACCACACTAGAGTAAACAAAATGCACCCTTTAGGTGACACATGTGTATTGAATGTTTGGGTGACATTCGACACAGATGGTTTTGTTACCAGTTCAACATTGCGGATTCCACTGCTGAGACAGCAGCAGACGCACCAATATATAGGGTTGAACTCTTCAACTGCTGAGAAAGCATCAGACACACTCAATATCTACTCCATTATCTGACAGTTCAACATTGCGGGTCCAACTGCTGAGAAGCAAGACCGCTAGACGTGAAAAACTTTGCAGCCGCACCCTCTTTCCTCTTGCGATTGCCAAAAACTCTGTTCGTGGCCGCCGTGCATACAATTCCTAATTGGCATTGGCAGGCTTGTTCAGCCTGCAATAGTCCAATCCCATTTCCGCACTAAGGTCAAAAGACGCGGGAAGCCCCACAACAAAAATATAGACAGAAAGTAATAAATTAAAGTTCATTGAACATGTACTGAAACCGTTGAAACGGTTTCAAAAACAAATACCATATATATATAATATATATATATAAATCCCATTTGCCAGCGAGCGGGACGGGAGTGATAAATGCGGGCTTCATCCAGATAAGCTCTA